GCCTTTATCTTCAATTCAACAACTGAATACTCTAACTCTAATCCTTTCTGAATTGCTAAAAAAAAAAGAGAGACATATTCCACATACTACCTTCTGAAACTGATCTCTCTTACCTACAATTTTATTTACACTTTTTAAAATTTTAATTTTATTGTCAAGTGATGTACAAAGGGGGTTACAGTTATATATATAAAGTAGTGAGTACATTTCTTGTCAAACATTGTTTATCCCCCCTCGTTCTTCTCTTGATAAATGTTTCTCCAACCCTATAAATATTCAATCTTTTGTAGATTAAAGTTTCATTGGTCAATGTTCTAGAACAATTTTTATTTAGAGTATTTAGAATATAAAATCACACAATGGGCACTCTGTAGTAAATAATCAGGTCAGAAACCACTCAACTTTTCAAAACTCTCAGAGGACTTCTAAACTTCATTATTACTCACTGACCTTTTCCTCCACAAAACTCAAGCCTTTCTACTTTCATATATGGGATTAACAATGACTTCTTCATATTCAAGTGCAACAATCTTCTCTGAAGCATTAAACATGAATGACTCAGACTGGGAGTGCAGCTTAATGCATCATTCTTGGCTACCATTCACAAGGCCCTCAGTTCAATCCCCCACACTGAAGTGAGAAGTAGGAATGTAGAAGAAACAGAGTAGGAGAGAAATGGAGAGAAACAGAAAGAAGAAAAAAGAAAACCTACAAACGCCCTTTTTCTACCTTTGTAGACTATGCAATGATAAAACAATTCCACTAATTAGACCAAGCAAAAGTCTGATTATAAAATCAGCTCTACTTCTGCCACTACCCACTATACAACTGTCCTTTGGTTTCTTTCCTTGCACTTTTATTTCTTCCTTCAACTTCCTTCTTCCTTAATGAGTAACTCATCATTGTACACTAATCCCTACCAACCAACACCTTCTCTGAAGAGTCCTGCCCAATCATCTAGAATATTCTTGGTCTCACATAGATATCCCAAGTCCAGAGCACTCCTGCCTGAACTTCTACAGTAGTCTATGAAATGGCAATGAATAAGGATGTGCATTCACTTTGCTTCCTCTGACCAGAGAGCAATTCCTTGAAGGCAATACCTTGTTTTAGTCACCTCTCCACAGAATGCCAATGCATAAAGGCCATCTTCATAGTATATTCTAATATTTTCTAGATACCCGACCATACACAGTCAAAATTTGCAGCTTCTAAAAAGATTCAACAAGCATCTTAAAAAGTTATGAAGTGAAAAAAAAGATTTCATAATGAAAAGTTCAAAAGATACCAAGTTTAGCAAAGTAATCAGGTTTGTCTTTGGAGTTTTCTGGAATCTTTTTGTGAATCTCCTAGAACTCTTTTTTTTTTTTTTTGTCGGTCGTGGGGCTTGAACTCTGGGCTTAGGCGATGTCCCTGTGCTCTTCAGCTCAAGGCGAGCACTCTACCGCTTGAGCCACAGTACCACTTCCGGTTTTCTAGCGGTTTATTGGAGATAAGAGTCTCGAGAACTTTCCTGCCCAGGCTGGCTTTGAACCTTGATCCTCAGATCTCAACCTCCTGAGTAGCTAGGATTACAGGCGTTGTGCCACCGGCGCCCGGCTTCCTAGAACTCTTATGTTACAAGACCTTCCACCTTCTGCTTCTCATTACTAGCATCTATTTACTTCTCCCATTTTAGGAAACAAAATACAGGAAATGCTTATTAGGCAATTAATTATCTTCTCTTACAACTTTATATCCAATATGATATCTAAGGATGTTACTAGTACTGGTTTTATGACTCATTCCAGCAACCAGTTTCAAAATCCTTCAATTACCTCCAAGACCATTAGACAGTATAATTACAAAAAAAAAAAGGATTTGATTTCCAAATACATTGTTTTATCTTATTTTGAAAGCAGGCATTACTAGAGTTTGAACTCAGGGCCTCAAGTTTACTAGATAGGCTTGCTACCACTTGAACCAGGCCATACTAAACCCACTCCCGCACCCACCCCCTTTTTGGTACTTACTTTTCAAATATGGTCTTGGGTTTTTGACTATGCTGGCCTTAGCCATCTTCCTACTTATGCCTTCCACAAAACTGTTATCACAGTTATGAGCCACTAGACCTGACTTGTTTGCTGAGATAGAGTCTTGATAACTTTTTGCCTACTGTGGCCTGCAATCTTCTGGATATCTGCCTCTTGAGTAGCTGGCATTATAGGTGTGAGCCATCCCTCTTATCCCTTTGTAAGATACTTTTAAATTGCAAGTCCCCTTGCAGCTTTTTTTTTTTTTGGGGGGGGTCCGGTTGTGGGGCCTGAACTCTGGGCCTGGACACTGTACCTCAGCTCTTCAGCTCAAGGCTAGCACTCTACCACTTGAACCACAGCGCCACTTCCGGCTTTTTTCTTTTTGCTTATGTGGTGCTAAGGAATGGAACCCAGGGCCTCATGCAAGAGCTCTACCCAGCCCCCCTAGCAGCTTTTGAGCAAAATCTCAGTTGCAAAACTCCAAAAATCAAAAGAGTATAATTCATTTACTTAATAATCAGAAAAACAATTTATGAAAAGCTAGTAGACATTTAAGTGACCTGATATTTGATACTTCAGCAAAACTAAAGCCATCTGGGTACCACTCACACCTATATTCCAAGCTACTCAGGAGGCTGAGATTTGAGAATCAAGGTTCATAGCCAGCCTAGCAAACAAATCCTGAAAATTCCTATCTCTAATTAACTTGAAAAAAGTCAGAAGTGGAAACATGATTCTATGAGTGTGAGGCCCTGAGTTCAAACCCAAATATAGACACAAAAACAAATACACAAAGACCATAAAAAGAAAAAAACTATTTCTTAGCATAAAGAATAAGCCAGGATTGGTGGCAAATGCCTATAATCCCACATGCTAAGAAGGCTGAGGGCAGGAGGTTTAGTATGTTGTAGGCTAGCCTGGATAATTTAACAAAACTCAGTCTCAAATTAAATAAAAAGGACTGGGAACCGGGCACTGGTGCCTCACCCTTTAATCCTAGCTACACAGGAGGCTGAGATCTGAGAATTACAGTTCAAACCAGCCCAAGTGGTTAATCTCCAGTTAACCACCAAAACGCTGGAAGTAGAGCTATGGCTAAAGCAGTAGAGGCTAGCTGTGAGAAAAACAACTTGAGTTCAAGCCCCAGGACTAGCACAAAAATTAATAACAAACAAATGTGGGAGGAAATTAATTGCACATATCTTATTTTTGAATTTTTCATTAGAGAGGAAATTTTGAGTACTATTCTGGAATTAAGCACAACTATGGGCTAGTTAAAGCTAGACGTTGGACATGCCTCAAATTGTCTGGCCTATTTATTCTTCATAATCTTATTTCCTTACCAGTAAAACTTTTGCCTAACGGTTACCTTGACTGGCTATATAAAAATTCCCAGCACTTCAGACACCACCCTAAAATTCTTCCTTATCTGAGCCCATCTCTAAACCAGATCTGATTTTCTTCTTCTATAATACCTCAACATCCTTTCTTCCTGGAGCAAGATGAGGAAATAACCTGCAACCAGGATGTCAGGGTACTACACACACACACACACACACACACACACACACACACACACACACACACACACACACACACACACACACACACACACAATTAGTCACTAAAGAACAGTTAAGTAACCTGCAACCAGAATGTCAGGGTACTACACACACACACACACACACACACACACACAATTAGTCACTAAAGAACAGTTAATTACCAAATGAAGCACACTGGCATTTAACCAGTTTGAAAATTCTCTATATTACAACACTAATTTAAATCATGTGTTTTACAAAACTTTTCTACTTAGACACAGCAAAAGTATAACTGATTCTGAAGCCAACTCTAATAATTGCAGTAAGCTATTTATAGGTGTTTCTGTTTTTGTGGGTTTTTTTAATCTACTCTAAATTTAAACCTGTTCCTCACTTCCAGAAGCTGAAATTAACATAAAGTGAATACAGGGGGACAAAAGACATTAATCAGTACAATCTTACCCAGTTTCTTCATGTCAAAGGCTACACAGTTAACTTTCCCAAACAACTCCATTACCACCTTACCTCTCTTTAAAAAGTGTTTTGAGTTCCAGAAGGTAACATCAATGGTCAATTTCAAAAAAGAAAAGCAATTTCAAAAAGAAAAGACAAATTTTAAAGTATAATGTCACGTCGGATGTCATTCACACAACCCCTTTCAGCAACACTTTTAGATGATAATAAAAAGAACTCTCAACACATGGAATACAGGGATCTCTTAATGTTCTAGAAAAGCCATTGGTTAAATTCTTTGAAGTGACTATTTGAAATGGGTACCCATCGCAAATGATAGACGATAAATATTACTCATAACTAAGCATGTTTCCCCTAAGTACATGCAAATAACCCAGGATGTGTGGTCTGTTCCCAGGAACAGTTCTGAACCTCTTCCACGCAGGGATCAGGCAGTTCTCAGCCCGCTTCTCTGAGCTATCGATTGGTGAGGCTTTCTGGGGAGGCGGGGAGTGGCAGGAAGTAAGATGCTATGCATAAATGCCATTGTGATAGGACCCCGGTTAGTTCCAGAGGGCCTGTCAGGACGGCGGCGGCTGCAATCCGCTTTTCCTCTCGCAGAATGAAGGCTAAGTTTGCGGATGCCACCCTCGGTTTCACAGGTTGCCTCGCTCCCCTCCTGGAGGCCCATTTCCAAGGCGCCCCGTCCACACCTCGGTGTCTCCGGCCCGAGAGCACGAGCTGCCTCTGTCCGCCGCGCTCGGCTCCTTCCCGGTGCAGCCCGCCCCCGGCCCCGCTCAGAGGCCCACCCAACCTCCCAGGTGTCTTCTGGGGACCCCCACCTCCCGCGGCTGCGGCCGCAGCCGCCGCTCAACGCCCCCTGCCCATCCCAGACACGCGCCCGGCCTCGGCAGCGCCGCGGGCCTCGGCGACGCGCTCCGCACCTCAGGACCGCCCGGCAACACGCCCCCACCCGAGGTCCCCTTACCGCACATGCTGCCGGAGGCGCGGCCCGCTGGGCGATGGGGAGAGCGGCTAGCGAGACCCGGAGTGCACACACGAGCGCAGCGACGAGGAAGGAGCTCCGGAGTCTGGGCAGGCGACCACACGACTCCCTCCGGGATGCGGCGGCCGGAGCAACGACAAACCTCCGCCTCCCGGGCTCAGCCCCCAACCGCCGCCGGCCCCGCCCCCCAGCGCGCACCGCGCCGCCGCAGGCAAGCCCCATTGGGCCGTGTCCGCGCTACTCACGGTAGGTCCCGCCTCCCCGCGCCGCCCCGCCCCCTGGGCCCACGTAGGCGCTGGATTACTAGCGGTGGAGACGTGGCAGCGGCTCGTGGCTGCATCCGTCTGAAGTTCCTGGAGCCGCCCGCCTCGAGGCAGCTCACCAGGACGTGAGGGAGGGGAGGAAAAAAAAAACAGAACTCAAGGCCAGGCAGGGAAGGATGTAAATGTTAGCTAGGCAAATAGCTCGCCCAAGGAAAGAAAGAGGCTTTCAAAAGCGATCCTGAGGGACAGACAAGGCAGGACGCAAAAGGAACCTAAGGCTAAGGAACCGCAGCAAAGGTAAGGTCAGGAAGACAGGAACCAGAATTCTTGATTGCTGAGCGCCATTCACGCGCAGCCCAGCCTTCTGGTGACCGGCCATTCAACAACCTACTACCTAAGTCCCACACATTACAGCCATGCTCAACCTCATCCTTTGCCTTCCCCAGCACCCCGCCCCCAGCCCTGCACCCCCCACCCCACCCCCCCCACACACACACACACACACACACCACGTTATTGCAGAGAAGGAGAAGAGAAAAGCAATGGAAGGATAAACTGTCTCAACACTGCATCAGACTTCAACTCGGCCAGTCTGTTTCTGATGACCCTCCTGGAGGGACTATCTGTATGTTTGACTCACAAATGAAATTCTGTGAATTAATGCACCATTTCTGCCAAGAGAGACTTGGTTGGAGAGGAAAAATGGTTCTGTGAAATTATTACCTGGGCAACTGCTTCCAGGAAGAAGTAAATTGCATCTTCTGTTAAAGATAGATAGTTACCAGGCCTCTATCAAGGACACACCCACATCTTAGTGTTACCACCTTATTGAGATAAGTGATCTAACCTCATCCTACACCTCAGCATTTCCTTCCTACCCAGCACTCTACACACTCCCACAGGCAAATCAGAAGTTCTCTTAAATCTAAACACATTTTGTTTTATCTGTTTATATGCTACCTTTTCAGAAAAGTCTCTTTTTTTCTTCCATAGAACTTGGCCCTTTAAATACAATATGCTTCTATAGTTTATCATTTTTTTAAATAAGTCCCCACTAAACTAAATGTTTCTTGAGGAAAGAATGAGTCTATATATAACACTTAGCATAGACACTAGCTATGCACAATAAAAGGAGCATAATTTTTGAGTGAGTGAAAAAGCAGGTCAAGTCTGGGCAGAATTGAACTTACAAGGCTATTTATAGGAGTAAATGGGGGGGGCTTTTTACCATTTATTTTAAAGAGATTAGGAAGTGTCACACTTAACTAAGTTTATTTCTCACTAAAAGCCCTTTGTTATGCAAAGCCTTAAAAAAGATAGTATAGGTTCTGGTCAGACTTTGGTGATAATGCTCAAGAGTTAAAGTATGTGATTTGAATGCTTATGCAATGTCTTTGTTCATGGACAACAAACCTGTGAAGAACACCAGGAAGATACCAACAGTACCACTAAAGTTCCTCTTCTCCAACTATTGTCATCTGTTGGAGCCCTTGCTTTTCTCTTCTGTCTGCCATCCTTCCACAATGGCTATCCAGTTGTCTACACCTATTTTGGAAGATACTTAAGCACCACTTAAAAGGAGGAAAAAAATATTTTTGTACCACTACCACGGCTTGAACTCAGGATGTAATACTCTTGATCAACTTGTTTGCTCACAGTTTGTGTTCTATTGCTCCAGCCCAGTTTTTTGTCAGCTAATTGGTGATTAAGTGTTAAAGTCTACAGATAGCTTCAAACCATGATCCCCTGATTTTGATTTCCTGAGAAGCTAAAATTATAGGCATGAGCCACTAGCACTTAGGCTGAAAGGAAGAAACTTTAAAGATCAATATTTTCCCATCCCAGCTATGAACAACCTCATTAATCCACTACAATAAAGAAACCTTTGTACCTATGTGCCAATAAAGATACTGATAGGGAAGCACTTTGCCTGACTTAAAGGCACCTAAAGGCCTTAGATGGGCCTTTAAGATTAAGACCTAAAAGAGAAAATAAATCATCTCTGAAGTAAAGGCAACATCTGGAACTGGAACTAATTTGGACAATTAAGGAAATAGAAAAGTTTTCTCTCCTAATCAAATTTAATGAACAGAAGGAAAAGGTGAGCAGACCAGGGAAGGGAGAAAAAAAATGTGTGTGTGTGTGTGTGTGTGTGTGTGTGTGAAAAAGGGTGTGTGTGTGTGTGTGAAAAAAAGGGTGTGTGTGTGTGTATGTGTTTTACCAGTTCGGGAGGGAGAAAAAAAGTGTGTGTGTGTGTGTGTGTGTTTTACCAGTTCGGGAGAGAGAAAAAAAGGGTGTGTGTGTGTGTGTGTGTGTGTGTGTGTGTGTGTGTGTGGAGAGAGAAAAAAGGGTGTGTGTGTGTGTGGAGAGAGAAAAAAAGGGTGTGTGTGTGTGTGTGTGTGTGTGTGTGTGTTACCAGTTCTGGGGCTTTGACTCCGGGCCTGGGTGCTGTCCCTGTCCCTAATACTATCACTTGAGCCACAGCTCCACTTCCACCTTTTTCAGTTTTAATTGTAGATAAGAGTCTCATTGGACTTTCTTGCCTGGATTGGCTTTGAACCTCGATTCTCAGATCTCAGCTTCCTGAGTAGTTAGGATTACAGGTATGAACCACAGGTGCCTGGCCAAATAAGAATAATTTTAGAAGAGTCTTTTTTTATCATCTCTTTATGTAAATCCACTTCTCTATTCATATATTTAGGCCCATGAAAACTGATGGTCCTGTGTCCTCCCTGATATATAGCTGAAGGCTATATATTTGCGCTCAAGGCTATCAAGACTTCTAGTTGCCATTTCTAAATCATCAAAAAGCCATTGATTTTTTTGGAGGTCCAAGTGTTTAAACTCAGGTCCTCACATTTGCTAGGCAAGTGCTCTACCACTTGAGCAACATTCTTTGCCCTTCTTGCTTTAGTTACTTTTGGAATAGGGTCGTATATTTTGCCCTAGTCAGACTTAAACAGTGATCCTCCTAACGTTGCCTTTCATGAAACGAGGATTACAAGATATGCATTACTTTACTTTCTTTTTTTTTTTTAAGAAAAGATTCCCCTGCTTGTGATTTTGGTTAACCCTTATCTGAGTTCTAAGAATTAGCAATAAAATTATTAAAATGTGAAATGTATAATGAAAATATGTGCCAATTTTTAAGGAATTTTGTAGAAAATGTACCGAAGGGATAGAAAAGATGGTAACAAATATCAAAAGAAAAGAAATAACTTGAACTCCTGAGACATATAAGTAGGAGCCATGAAGACAAGAACAAAAGGTACCCATCAGGGCTGTCCCCTCCACTAAAGTACTTTGGTCCCACCACTATGCCAATTCATCCTAAATATATTTACAGGAGGTGAATAAAATACAAATCTCATCAGTTTCACACTGCTCTCAGTATACCCTTCACCTATAAAGTTAAGCCCCACACTCCTATGAATGCACACAACTCTTCATGACCTCACTCCCACCAGTTTTATCAGTGCCTTTTCCTACTACCTCCTGAAGGGGAAGCTCCCTGAAAAAGAATAGTGTCTCAGCCGGGTGCCAGTGGCTCACATCTGTAATCCTAGCTACTTAGGAGGCTGAGATCTGAGGATCCTGGTTCAAAGCCAGCCCAGGCAGGAAAGTCCGTGAGACTTGTACCTCCAATAAACCACTAGAAAAACCAGAAGTGGTGCTGTGGCTGAAGCAGTAGAGCACTCGCCTTGAGCTGAAGAGCTGAGGGACAGCACCCAAGCCCAGAGTTCAAGCCCCACAACTGACAAAAAAAAAAAAAAAAAAGAATACTGTCTCAATCTTTGATATCTTTGCATTTCGGTTTGTTTTTGTTGTTGTTTCATTTTGTTTTAGGGATAAGGTCTTGCTATGTAGTTCAGGCTGGTCTCAAACTCACAATCTCCCCCCTCATCCTGGAAAGTGCTAGGATTATAGATACACCACTAACTCTTAACTCTATGCATGTGCTCCACTGAAAAGAAGCAGTGAAAAATGAGCCAGGGATTTTCTTCAGTTATCATCAACAGTTTAGGATTCCTAAGAAAGCTACGGTTACAACAAGGTGAGGCCCTCAATTCATCAGGTGTCTGGCATGCTCATAGGAAGTGTCAGCCCAGCACTCAACTCTCACCAAATTCCTCTGTATCTACTCATCTTGCATGACATTGAAGTGCGTTTCACAGAGAGTAAAATCATGCTGTCATTAAAGTAGCTGGTGGAAATGTACTTCTGGGGCCTGACTTGTTTGCAAAGGCCCTGGCCAAGGTCAACATCTGAAGCCTCATCTACAATGTAGGTGCTGGCAAGCCTGCCTCCAGCAGCCTTATGGCAGTAGGAGGAGGTTCTGTCTTCCACTCCTGCTGGCTCAGCTGAAGAGAAGGAAGTAGGAGAAAGAATCTCAGAAGTCTAATGATGACATGGGCTTTGATCTTTTTGACTAAATTTCTTTTGTAATATGTTCAGTTTTTAAAAACCTGAGCTCTGAGAATAAAAGCAGGGGGTGAGAGTGGAGAAAAATGCTAACTGGTTAAGGTTTGAAAAGAAAATTAGAAGATTGCTGGGTACTGCTGGTTTATACCTGTAATCCTGGCTACTCAATAGGCTGAGAATCATGGTTTGAAGCCAGTCCAGGCAGGAAAGACTATTTCCATTAACCACCAAAAACCTAGAAGTTTGGCTCAAGTGATAGAAAACCAGCCTTAAGTGAAAAAGCTAAGGGATAGCACTCAAGCCGTGAGTTCAAGGCCCAATACCAGCACACACCAAAAAAGTAGATAAGTACCTACAAAATAGGACCAGAAAATTCCCTTGTCAAAGATGACTTCCGTCAGGGCACTGATAGCCCACTTCTGTAGTCCTACCCTAGCTA